CCACTCCATCCATGCACTTCTTGTTTTTTACTTCTGTTACATAACTGGTCACATTTCCCAAATAAGCCTTGCTCTCCCTTATTTCTGGAGCTTTGATCCCTGTTGGAAATGCTCCCTCAACCCCCCACACCCTTTCTCCCACACACACACCATCCAGTTCTCCCCGCGCCGCCTCCAGTCCCAGGGTTTGGATAGGTTTCCGTCTTGAAGCTTCAGCAGCACTAATGACCCACCAAAGCACTCTAAACCAGTTTGTTTTCTCCATTAAACTGAGATCCTTACCACTAACATTTCAGCACCTGGCAGAGCACAGGATTTCACTTAGGAGGCACTTGATGAAGAGTTATGGTATGAGTGAGTGAATGAGTCGCCGTGAGCTCTTCCTGATGTGCAAAGTGCATTCCTGAGTGGATGGAGTTAGTAAATGCTGAAAATATCAAACAATAGAAGACATAGAATTCAATATTTCACAGGTGTCTGGAGGGACTATAATTCTCCTACGTGTAGAAGCAGTAAGGGAAGATGCTGGTTTACCTGACACAGCAATGAGATTTTGCCTCTGGGACTGGCCGACACTGTTTGGTTAATACGTTTTTCTTTACATATGTTAATACATTCCATCAGGTTAGGTGATCTGGCATATCTCCGCTCTGATTCATTTTCGTTTAACTTCCTACAGGCAATCTGACTATTCTTATTTCCCAGTTCTGAAGGGAAGGGTATAGTACTGATAATTTCTATATATTCTTAAAAGTCTGTATATAAACTAAAACCAATATATAAAATATTTATTATACTAATAGCTCACTCATATTTCTATGATCCTAAGAAAAATTTTTCAAAAGAAAAATATGTCATAGAGCAGATAATTTACAAAAAGTTTTATAATGTAATGTGAAGAAATAATTCAAAACATAATAAAAGTTAACAACTTTGGAGGTTATTTTTGTTTTGTTTACTGTGGGCTTATTTTGAAAGGAGGAAATAAAACATAACTATAATAAATATCTTAGAATAGAGAAAGAGTTGATTTTTATATATACGTTAAATGAGGAGTTTTGGGGGCATTAAGCATAACATCAAAAGATCATGTAGAAATGGAAAAACAAAGATGATAATATAAGTATTATACAAAAAGACCAGAAGTACCCAAGGAAATTACAGTTATTTTGTATATGGGGCAAGAAATTGAATATATAATCTTTTCCTTCTTTTCTGGAATTGCATTATTTTAAAAACTAAGATTCATAAAAGAAGTGGTGGCTGGAGAGTCACTAATGTCCTTACTGTTGTAAAGGGTCAGTCAATGACTCAAAGCTGAAATTCACAAAATTGAGAGGAAAGAACAAGCTCAGAATGAGAGAGATATAAGGCCATTCATGGAAGGAACACACACAATATTGTCTGCTGTTTGTACATAATATATATGTAGCAAATGTATAAAACCAGAAATGGAAAGAGACATATACATTCCAAGATAAAGGTTCACCCTGGAAAAGCTAGGGACGCTGGCATAAATAGGGTCTCAGCTGTATTAGTTAACATTCTGTTTCGTAAAAAACAAATACCTGTAGTCGTTATGGTAAAACGTCAAATTCTCCAAAATCCAGGTGATGTGTACATGACTACTGGGTAGCTGTTTGTTATAAATGTTCATCTTTTTTCCCTTTATATTTGAAATATATTTTATTTAAAGAAGAGAACACATCTACAGCTGTGTTGATGGAGCCACACGTGAGCCCTAAATAAGTTACAAAAGTGCTTCAGTGCAAGTCTTAAGAGTTTGAAAAAAAGAGATTCTAACTCTACTAGGCTCTATTAGATAGGAAAAATTCTAATTTGAAAAGAGAGATCAGGAAGGACGTGAACTATGGGGGCTTCTTTGCATGTGTCCCTCACCGCTACTTGCGTAGAAGTCAAGAACGGAGGTTAAAAACAATTCTTGAGGAGTATAGTTACCTCAACTATTACCATATCATTTACCTCATGGTCACGTTTTCTTTATTCATAACATTTATTAGAATTAGAATTCAGGGTTAAATTTATTACAATGGTAATTATTATATTTATTTCCAAATTTAGTAAATTAAAAAAAAAATCTGATTGCAGTTTGATCTGGAAGTCCTCACAATGTGGCCAAATTCCTCTAGAAAGGAAAGTGATGTCTTCTTTACGATAATTAGCTTCATGAGGTAGTTAGCTATGAACCGCACAACCTTGATATCAAATGTCTGGAGAAACAGAGTTAAACCTCTCTGGAAAATTACCGTAAGAGATTTTGAATCTTACTCTGGAAGCTGAAGGAGACAAACATTTTGGAAATCCGAGACAGAGCAGAGCACAAAGTAGATGGAAAGGGTCTTAGTGGAGAAGAGGCGTGCAGTGTAGTCTGATGGCAGCGGAGAGATTGAGAGCGGCCAGGGAGGAAAATGTAGTGTCTACACTGGCTGGGAATTTCAAGACAATGAAATCTGAGGTTCACCTTTACCTTGTAGACTGTTCTGCTTGCATTTTCCTATTATAACTAAACCTTCAGTAAAATCCTCTCAGATCCCCAGGCAGAACTAGGCTTCTTCCTCAAATGAAGGGAGAGACGTAGTGCTTATTGTGGAATGAGCAGTGTGGAGAGAAAGAAAAGGTATGTAGGTTGTTTCCTAAACCAACCATAACGAATGATCCCCATCGTGTGGCCTAAAACAAGAAATTTATTCCCTCACAGGTTTGGAATCCAGAAGTCTGAAATCAAGATGCCCACAGGGTCATACTCCTTCTGAAGGCTCATCGGAGAAATCCTTCCTCGCATTTTCCTAGCTTCTAGTGGCTCCTGGCAGTTCTTAATGTTCCTTGGCTTGTAACTGTGTCACTCCAATCTCTGCCTCTGTTTTCTTCCTGGGTCTGTGTGTCCCTCTCATAAAGATGCCATTTGAGTTAGGGACCACCTGGATCCAATATGACCTCATCTTAGCTTAATTACACTTGCAAAGATGCGACTTCCAAGTAAGGTCACATTCTGAGGGTTCATGCGGATGTGAATTTTCACATCCTTAAACCCAGTAGCACAGAGGTAGCAGGGAAGATACACGGTGGAAGGTAATTTTTTCTGTATTTTCATCAGACTCTTTCAGATAGGAGGCACTCAAATTGCCTTAGAACATGAGGTTGGTGTTCAGTTTTATTTTAACATTGAAGAACAAACTAAAGGCCCAAGATTTGAGGACTGCAGAATGAGCAGGTAGTAGATATTTTGGCGGCATTGGAAATTCACTGGAAATTAGTTAGCAAAGTCCACCGTGATTCTACTGAACACTCATAGTTCAGCCTCTGAATAACTAAAGACTGAGAATCTGTTGCTTCAAAATCCACGATACCAAACTCACATAGCACTGAGTAAGTCTAACTTAAGTATGAATGAGAGTGAATTACTTCAGTGTGTGCAAATTAAAAAGTAGCAGAAGGCTATTATTTCCTATATTTAATTTGCCACTTTTTGAGCTTTCTCATCGGAGAGAGCTTTAAAAGAATCTTGCTGGAAGAAGCGGTACATTTTTAAGATGGAAGAACTTTGTGTTTAAAAAGAATACCTCTCTTGTTGTGCAGATCCCCACAAGGATATGATGGTTAAGAAGTTTATGTTGGGGGGGGGGGGGACAAACAAAATGGAAAGGTTGAGTAAGACAAGAAAATCAAGTGTGGTTGGGAGTGTAAGTTGTCTGAGAGTATCCTGGGCACTAATGTTGCTTCTACTACTGGGTTTCCAAATTGTCAATTAAACAGACGTGTCTGTGTTTCAAAGACCATACTGTTTTCTTCAAGGGACCGTATCCATGTATTAGGGTATTTATTATCATTTTAGACCAATTTTGTTATTATTTAATATCTCATTTCTACGTGAGTCTTAAGTTTCTAGAGTTGCTGAGGAGAACTGCAAAAAATTTATAAAGGTGCATTTTACTTGCCTATTTTTAGCCTATTTACAATTTGCTCTTCACTTAAAACCATTAAGATATTGAATGGAGCTAATTTATAAAACTCACACCACAAAATAGCATTAATTACATTATCATTCTTTCTGATTTCTGAAAATGTAGACATCAATCAGATCTCATAAATGTCCTTGTGTCCCTCTTTATAATCTGTTAAGACGTTGATAAGTGATTTAGCCTATTTGAGCCTTGACTATTTATAAAATAAATATATTAACACGTACCTCCTACATTTGAGGTGTCAAATATGACATTATGTGGAAAAAATGTATTTTAAATAGTAAAGTACTAATCAAAAGGTAGTGATAGAATTATTCATTTTATTTCATTCTGAAAGTTATTCTAGGAAACTATGAAATCATAGACTGTATGATTTTGAGTTGTGGATTTCGTGGAGAAAAATGTCTTAACTTTGGCCCAAGGAAGATTTATCTGTCCAGTTATTGGCAAGGCTGACAACCCAGGACAGATTCTTCGACGTTTTATGAAGAGAAAATTATTTTCTAAAATAACTGAGTGTTTGCCCCTTGAATTGGATCAGGAGGTAAATTAAAAGCCAATACACATTCTCTTTGTCATTGTGTGCTATATTTTGTTTAGGCTCATAACTTTTCAGAGCTCCAGGGGGCCATCACGACGGACTTGCCAGGACCGGTGGAAAATACCATAGACAGTCTCCATTACCTCTGCATTTGATAGGAGAAGCCATGATTTGTGTCCGAGAGCTGTGTCCACAATATTTGAGGACACATCACTTGACGTCTCAAATATCCAACAAAAAAAGCTGTTTCTCGGGGCGCCTGGGTGGCGCAGTCGGTTGAGCGTCCGACTTCAGCCAGGTCGCGATCTCGCGGTCCGGGAGTTCGAGCCCCGCGTCGGGCTCTGGGCTGATGGCTCGGAGCCTGGAGCCTGTTTCGGATTCTGTGTCTCCCTCTCTCTCTCTGCCCCTCCCCCATTCATGCTCTGTCTCTCTCTGTCCCAAAAAAATAAATAAACGTTAAGAAAAAAAAAAAAAAAAGCTGTTTCTCTCTCCTCCAGGACTCATTGCTTCCATTTGCTTAGCTTAAACTTTGGCTGTTTTGGTGTAATCAAAGTAGATACTCTTAGAAACAAGAAAAAAAGCATGGGATAGCGAATTTTGTTTGCATAATAACAGAAAGAAAAGCAGAAAATAATGCAAAATGTGGGTCCTTAGGTTAGGGTACTAAATGCTTTATTTCACATGAGAGGGTCCTACTGCTTATTTACCAGAGGGGGCTGGGGGGGGGGGGGCGGTGAGGATCTGTATCATAAAACAGGAAGCTTGTTTAGATGGGAAGTCAGGCTGCAAACTTCCTTTATGACTTCCGACAAATTGTTTTGCCTGCTTTCATTGTATTTAATTTCTTCATTTGTTATGACATCTTGCAGAATTGCCTTCTAGGACTTTCGTGAGAACTGGTTTAGTCCATGAATGTACTTTGAAGAGGTTTGCAGGGGTGCCTGGGTGGCGCAGGCGGTTGACCGTCCGACTTCGGCCAGGTCACGATCTCGGGGTCCGTGAGTTCGAGCCCTGCGTCAGGCTCTGGGCTGATGGCTCGGAGCCTGGAGCCTGTTTCCGATTCTGTGTCTCCCTCTCTCTCTGCCCCTCCCCCGTTCATGCTCTATCTCTCTCTGTCCCAAAAATAAATAAAAATGTTGAGAAAAAAAAATTAAAAAAAAAAAAAAGAAGAGGTTTGCAAAAGAGACTAAAGACACTCTAATGTGATAGGATTTAAAATGAGATAAACTGGGATTCACACTCCACCTCATATATGCTAGCTGTGTGATTTTGCACAGGTTAATGACCTGTTCTAAATCTCATGCGAAAAACAGCAGACTGATAGGTTTCTTGAGAGGATTAAGTGAAGTAGGTATATACATAGGGCTCTGTAGAACACCTGGCCCAGAAGACTCACTTTCTGTTATAGGTATTGTTATGAATATTATTATTTCTTAAGAATTCAGATTTCTGGCCTAATTGGGAATCGGTGATGATACGACAAAAGTATCATGTATAAAAGAAATTTTCAACTACACTGTGCTTCAGAATTCCCAAGAAACCTTCTGGAAACCGCACATAGCAGCCTACAACCCAAATCCCTAAAATAAACATCTCTGTATGTTGAGTCCAGCCATCCATATGTGATAAAAGCCTGAGAGATCATTCTGATGCTCACCATAGCCTGAGAACAAATGTCAGAACAATAGAAGAATTTTTTTGCTTCATGGAAGAAATTACCTAATATTGCTGTCCAATAAGCACTTAACAAGAATATTATTAAGTATTATTTAACAGCGCAGTTAAGTTGATCCACTTTTTCAGGAACTTTAGCCCTGCACTCTGAGATTCTGAAGGGGTGATCCTGCCCAACCCATCATTTGGTATTGATCCTTTACAGACTACAGTACTTAGTCAAGGGAAAACTCAGATTCCAAGAAGAGACCACAAGAGTTCTTTTGAAGGAAAAAAGGTGGCACTCTTTCTCAGACATGGATAAATGTGCAGATTCTGCAGCACAGCAAGAGCCTAATGGACTATGAATAGATATGAGAGACAGAGAGAGAGAGAGAGAGAGAGAGAGAGAGAGAGAAGGAGAGAAGGAGAGAGATACTGAATCTAAATGACTTAGTTTGAACTCCTGGATCCCACTAAGCCTGAAGCAAAACCATCTCTTGGAATTCTCCATTATGTGAATCAATAGGTTCTGTGTCTCCATTAAGCAAGTTTCCACTACTTTCTACTTAAAAAACTCTTACAAAGGCATAAATGGTGATTATTTGAGAATAAACATTCTCAAGAAATAGCTTCCCAGGTCATTCTTTTTCTCATGATCTAATTAATCACCATTGGTTACAGTCTACTTAAACTGAATTAGCCTGGCGATCTTTATTATTCCATGAAAACACCGTAATGTAAAAGAACATCCCTGCAATGTCAAAACAAAACATTGACAAGAAACAAGTAAAAGTCTCGATACTTTCCTGTTATAGTATGAATTATATCCACCCGAAATTTCCTGTTATAGTATGAATTATATCCACCCGAAATACACCTGTGGACATCCTAACACCCATGTGACTGTATATAGAAATAGGGCCTCTAAGGAGATAGTTCAGGTTGATTGAGGCCATACCGGTGGGGCCTAATCCAACAGGACTAGTGTCCTGAGGGCACTTAGATCTTGGACTTCCAGGGTCCAGAACTAGGAGGGAACACATTTGGGTGTAGTCACCCTGTCTGTCGTACTTTGTTCTCACAACCCTATCAGACTAATCCACGTCTCCCTCTCTTTTCCTCTCTGTTTTGGGTTTAGTTGCAAATGAAATGAGTAACAGAGTCCCTCAATGGGTATAAATTTGAAAATACAGCTTTTTCTCTAATTTATAAGTTAGGAGCAGCCATCCCTGTTATGTCATGATCTGAGCACAGTAAAAACCTCCTTTTAACAAAATCACTGTGCCACTGAAATGCCAACTTTATTTAAAGGCTTAGCAGCGTCTATTTAAAAAAAAAAAAAAGAAAAAAAGAAAGAAAACGGCAAAGGGGCACCTGGATGGCTCAGTTAAGTGGCCAACTTCAGCTCAGGTCATCATCTCCCAGTTCATGGGGTTGAACCCTGCATCGGGCTCTGTGATGAGAGCTCAGAGCCTGGAGCCTGCTTCAGATTGTGTGTTTCCTTCTCTCTCTGCCCCTCCCCTACTTGTGCTCTGTTTCTCTCTCTCTCAAAAATAAATAAACAATTTTTTTTTAAAAAACCTGCAAAAGTATTTATTAAGGGCCTATTAGATGTTTTACTACAGTAATAATAATTACTCATTTGGCTACTTTCTGTGATTAATATAATACACGTTCTTTTGGTATAGACATAGTATTTCTATGTGCGAGTGAAATAGAAGGTAACAGAATATAACAGGAGACTACAACAGGAGAGAGTTTGGCATGAAAGCTTGTTTTGGAATAGAACAGATAATCATTTTGTAGGGAATAAATGAATTATGCTATAAGCCATGTGGAGTTTTTGCAAAAATATTGTGCACAGAGACTGAATATTTGTGTTCAGGTGAAGCAATTTACCTTTCAGCATTTCTAGGAAATGGAAAATCAGAATTACACAGAACATCATTAGGAAGAAGGGTGGTTTTCATTTTGCTGAATCAGTCATATTAAGATTCCTTTAAATAGTTCCCGGTAATGAGCATCTGAAAAGTTGCTGGGATTCAGGTGTTCCATTTTGCAGTGAGTGGGTCAGGCAGAATGCGAGTAATTCAGGGAAGCAGGGAATGGAAATCACACAGAGCACCCCCGGGAAGGGGCCAGTCTGTAGGTTAGGCCATAATGGGAGATATTTCTCGGGCACTTCACGTGCAAGCCAGCAACTGTGTGGTTCTGGGGAATCTGGTGTAGAGATTCCCTCTGCAGGACGGTGCATTTCCAGAGAAGCCCAGGGAGAGAGGGGGCGAGTATGGTTGTGAGCCCGAAGTCGGACGGTGCCTTAATTAGAACAAAGGAAACGATCTCGTGGTGGCGTGAGACCACAGTGACTGCAGAGTGGGAAGCCAGCACCCGGTTCTCTGAAGCGGGGCAGGCAAGCTGTTTGGTCTTCTGAGGCTGTGGATGATGGGAACCGGTGTGTTGGGTCTAGTCCACCACTTTCAGGCTTGTAACCAGATGGATTTCAAATTTTGCTGGTGTGAGAGACCTGGGTGGAGCTGTACTGTTTTTTTTTTTTTTTTTTTTCTTTCCTTCTAAGTGGCTCCGGTAGGAGTCGGGCTGTGTTGAGTCAGCTCGGAAGAGAGACTCAACAGGGTAAACGCTGACCGCTGGATCCATCCCCGATTTAAATCTCTTATTTCAACTTACACGACGTATTAGTCATCTCCACTATTCGGGAACACACCCATTGTGTTAACGGAACGTTACACGTTTTGACAACACCTCACGGACTCGCATGAAGCTTTAAAAACCACAGACTGTCAAGAACAAGAAGGCTTAGCTAAGTTACCTGGAGCCACGTGGCTCCCGATGGTGTATTCTGCTCAATCATAACGGGTGCTGCTGAGAAAACTACACAATTGAGTTTGGAAAAAGAGACACAATAACAGAAGAGGGACATCAAAGCAGCCAGATTATATTAAAAAATATATCTGTGAGCCAGTTACTGAAAAAATGTTAAGAGTGAGCCAGTTACCGAAATAAAAACAGAATATTAACAGGTGGTTCCTTCTCCTCACGCCCATAAGTAAATAACTCTTATTACCGACAATGTAAACTTCGCAGGTGTTCCGGGGAGACTATGTTTCTGAATAACAGATGTGGGGCAGAACTGGAGGCAAGAGCCGACCTAGTATGCGAAGGTAGAAACATACACAAATCAAGATTAATTGGCAATGCTTTTTTTTTTAATTTGAAATAATGGAAGTCATACTCTAAGAATTTCCACCTGCTTTGTGTCTTCAAATTATTAGGCCCATTCCGGAAAACCAAGTTGCTTATTACAAATCTCTTTCCCTCTTTTCCCCACACCCTCCACGCTATGCATTTGCGGCATTTATACTTAAGAAAAGAAAAAACTAGCGTGGGGGTGTTGAATGCAGTCATAGTTACAACATGGGGCTTTGGAGATTGATATACCTGGCTTTGAGTTTCTGCCCTTCCATTTATCAGCAGTGAGCTTCAGTTTCCAATCTACAAAATGGGAATAACAAAGTACCTACCTCAAAGGCTCTTCTGAGGATTAAATGAGATAATGCATCAAAAGCCCCTGGTGCACACCCAGTGTTGTCTAAATGTTCACTGTTATCATTATTTAGTGTTTGGAGGAGAAGGTTTTACTTCGGTCGGCTGAATGCTTTGAGAAAGACCAAAATTCATCTGTGATTGTGCTGTCCTCAGTAGAAATCAATGGCAAGTCAAACTGATATTTCACACCCTTGCACGAGTTTTAAGACACTGTAAATTCACATTCTAATTACAGTCTCATTGGGCATGAATAAAGCACAGTAAAAAATACTGACCAATGACACATTGGTCATCGGTGTGTTTAGGACAGAGCCTCACACAAAGTGTTTAATTGTATGGTAGGAATTGTTTTTGCTTGACTGAAACACACTTCCACGTCAGGCGAGAACAGAACAGAGGAATCCTTGTGATAAGCAGGAGAGCTCGAGGCAGATTTCTGTCTCTTCCTCGCACGTTACTCAGGGTGGTATAATTTATGCATCTGAGCTGGGCATTCAGATCTATTTTTGTCTAAGGAGAAAAGAGAAATCCTTCTCCCCTAATTTGCAAAGTCTGGATCAGTATTTCACACACTTAGAATCTACTTGCACTTTGGGGTGTCAAGCAACCTGTGAATGGAGTGCCCTGCAATTATCTGCCACGATCTCTGGGATCAGGGTCATTCTGTGGCCAGTGTGGACCACAGCCCGATGGCAAGGGAAGACGGGTTCCCAGGTTCTAGTTGGCCCCCAGTACAGAGTGGGGTAGGAAGTGGCACCTAATTCAACCCCGGACAAAGAGCTTCAACTCCCCTCCCGGTGTTTGCATTAACTGGCTAGTCGACATGGCCAGTCTTCTAACACTAAGGACCATCTCGAGACTGGCTGATTCCTCCCCCTCCTCTTTTTTGTTTTTATTCTTGGAGACTCTGGTGTCATTAGGGGCAGACCCAGAGGACCATAGACAACTCTAATTTGTTTCAACCCTTCTTGGAGCTTTCTCATCAGCAGAGTCTTGGGCTCACGCTTCGTCCTTCAGAGCCTGGACTCTCTTGTTTTATTAGACTGACATTTTGTTCGGACCTCTGTTGACAGCTTCTGGCCTCTGGCACACACTCCGTTTAGTCACTTCTTTTATTTACAACTTACGCTCTTCTGCTCGGCCCAGACAAACTCAGTGATTTGTGATCTGGTCACACTTTCATTCCTCTGTCTCGCGTAAAATCTCATCTTCCTCTCTAGCATCTCTCTCTTTTTGTCCGTGACATTTACTTGGCTTCTTGCATTTTCATTTTGCTTTCGCTCCTATCCTCAGGACCGGTTTTAAATGTCTGCGTGATTCCGGCACGGAACAGCAATTCTGGTTCAGAGAGACCACGGCGAAGCAGACCTTGTGTGTTTAAAGCACTTTATGATTTTACAGGGCATCTTCACACACACAGTATCTCACGTGACCCTCACAACAACCCTGTGAGGTAGGTGTCATGAAACGCTTTTCCCAGGAGAGGGAATGGAAGGGCTGAGGGACACACGGACACGCTCAAATTCTACCAGAAATTCAAGACTGGGACGCCTGCGACTATTTGTAAACTGTGAAATGAGAAGTGTGAAAACGTCATCTGCTAATAAACAGAAAGAACTTCAAAAACAACATGATAGCCTATATTTTTCCTATTCCTTGTTTCGGTCTGCCTTTTCTTATTTTTTCTTTCCCCTTTCTCTTTTTTATCCCTTTGTTCACCTACATAAAATATTTCCAGTTCTATGGAAGTATTTCTTTATCTTCAGGATCTATACTAGATACTTAAAGCGTAAAATACAAAAGAGCTTTTGGCAATAGAAAACTTCAGCATTATTTTTTCATGATCAAAATACTTGCTTGAAATTGCCAGGTAATTGAAGGAAGTAAGTTCTGTGTTTTGGTCTAAATGTGTTGAATGAACTGTTCAAGCTCTACTCTACCTCACTATAAACTTTGGGAAAAACGGGGTGGGGGGGGTGGTATAATTTGTAGAGTAAGCAGATAAGAAGGTAAACTAAGCTAATCAAAATCAATATTTTTAATATTTTAAAGAATTTAATAATCTTGATCTCCTCTGAACACCTGTAGAGCCCTGTTCCTCCCCCAGTATAGCTCTGTTGTATTGTATAATCACCTGTTTCCATGTCTAGGCTTTCAGGGACTATTAGCTCTATGAGGGCCAGAGACAATAGTTATCTTATTAGCTGTTATGTTCAGCTACAGGAGGCACACAATGAACATGTGCAGAGTGAATGAACGAACGAACGAATTTTCTTTTATGTTATCCCTATCACTTATTGAGAGTATTGTTTTTGAATGTAAAGAACCCATATATAATCAATATCCATGAGATGTCTCCTAGAACCCAGTGGGTTAAATTGGGTTCAGTAAGACATCAGATGAGTGGGGAGCAGAGGGCTCCTGCTCTTGCTCTGAGAACTGGTAGGAGCAGCTTGCCAGTCAGTACATGGGAGATGACCCAGCTAAGGGTGCCAGCAGATGGTGGTGATGGTGGGTTACTAGAGTGGGAAGAGGTCTGAGCATAGGAACAGAGGTCCAAACAGCACAAAAGACCTGGAGAGAAAGCCATGTGGAAGCTGGATACGACACAGGAACCAGAGTCATTTGAAGGAGCCACAAAGGGATCTTGGAGTCAGTTGTGCGGATGATTTGTCCGGAGGTGAGGGGCCTTTTAATGAGATGGTAGCAGAGGGTGTCTTGCCCAACCTGCCTGATCTTAAAAGGGCCCTGCCCAAATATGATCCGGGAGTTGCACTGGTCCTGACAAATGTACAAAAGAGGAAATCAGTGATTACTCCTTTTATATTTAAATCATGCCTAAAAAAATATTAAATGTATTTGTTAAAATAATTTCATATAAAGTTTTATTTATCAGAAGTAACTGAAGATGTGGGGAATCAGGCAATTTCATGCAGAATAAATTGGTCCAACCTTTTTGGAGCCATTTACAAGAAACCATCACATTGTAAACTGCAAGCCACCTTTGGACTATTGATTCTACTTCTAGCAAATAGTCTATTATAGAGTATTTCCACAAGATCACGTACGAGACTGCTAAATGTAGCATTGCTTAATAAAGCCAAACCATGGCAAGCAAGAAATCAAGTGCTCCTGACTAGGGGATAGAATACGATAGTCACTGTGGCATAGCTATATAATGGAACAATGCAGAGTGGTCGAGAAAAAAGAGCTAAAGTCACATGGACCGACATGGGCAGATGACTGACATATTGACTTATATGAGGAAAAAGAAGAACATACTGTATAGATGTCTGTGTGTATGATTTTTTTCTCTCTTTTAGAAACATTATGGAGTTACACATACTCTCTGTGGGGCGGGGGGAGTGCATGGAGGGAAGTCTGCAGATCATAAACACTCATACACAGAAATGTCTCTATCATTGCTTTCACAAAGCAAGTGTGCACTTAAGTTCAAAACACCCATGAAAATATCTGTAAGTGAAACATCTCTGAAAGTATCTGAAAAACGTTCAAAGCGTTGGTAACCCCAGGTAACAGAAGGCAGTGTGGGTGTTCAGTGTATAGACTGCAAAACAGAGAAGTTCTTTACTTGCCAAACTTCCCCAGAGTCAAGGTTAAGTGGCTCAGAAAAAGTCTCAGGAACGGGAGCAAAGGAGATAAAAAAAAAAAAAAAAAAAAAGAACCAGAGATAAAGGCAGAGATAAAGACAGAGATCAACAGGAAGATAGGGAAAAGAGTTACGAAGAGCTTAAGTGAAAATAACTGGAGAGACACGGAGCACGGAAGGTAAGTGGGATAAAAAAAAAAAAAAAGTGTTCCAGCTGTCCGAAGTGATCACATTCCAGAAGTAATGAACACGCAGGAGAAAATGTACACTAATGTTTCCATATCTTAATATGATAACAGCAACGCTAATAATCACCGAGCGACGCCAAAGCTCGTGGGGGAGGCACACACTACTAAATGTTGTTCAGTTTAGGGGCAACGGGATCAACAGTGCAACAACTGTGAAAAGCATCCTGTAGCTACGTGATGCTTCAGGGGCTGGCATTCACAGTGCCGACCCTCAGTTATCTAAGTGTGGCATCCGTGCACGGTACAGGTGAAAATAATTCCTTCTGCTCTAAGGCAGAGAAATTGGTACTACGTTTTTAAAATAACTATGACTGAAAAGTGCTAGAGTTTTGGTACATTAAAGGATTAGCCATAATCTACCTAAAACAGACCCTGGTTGGGTAGAGATTATGTGTGTGTGTGCGCTCGGAGCGGCTACTCCCAGAGTCACAGCACACACAGGTCCTACTGGGGATGCAGGGGAGGGTCCCTCAATCCCTTTTCATAATCCTTTCACTGGATCCGTGTGGACGCAGCCCAGACACTCAACTGACTTACAGCCTGGTATGTTGAAGACATCTCCTCTAACAATCCTATCAAAAGGGATCCCAGTGTGAAATCTGTTCTGTTGAGGCTGTGATGTAGAACGCAACCTGTCAAGTTTTTAGCGATGCAAAACAAAACACAAAAACCCCAGCCTTCAGGGAATTGATGGGTCAGGGTTGTCAGATTGTCCAAATTCCTATAGGTAGCCTTTCAGTAAGTTTACTCAGTAGGCAAGGAGGCTATAATTGTTTCTATTCATAAACTTGGTTTTCCTTCAGCAGATTGAAAGTGGCTTGAAAAGTGAACAGCTTTCTATGTGGAACTTTTAGAAAACTGTGCTCCTCAAGAAAACAAAATACAAATGGGTAATGGGTAATGAAACTTAGAGTTGTATAATTTAATCTATTTGTTTTACTCCAATTAGCAAGCTTTATTTGTAGAACACTGTGGCTGGCTTGCAAAGAATCTCTACGGCTCAATACTGAAGTTCCCAATATTTGCCTCGAGCCCAGACCACTATCATCACAAGCTTATTTATTACAAGGCACACATAAAAACAATGAACCATAAACTTACTTAGCATGCTTCCGCTCCCTTTTTCCCCCTTCTGGCCTTTGGGTCCAGGATTTCCTTGGAAACAAACAAAAAAAGCACCAATTTTATTTGTAACCAATTAAAAAATTAATTGCTGTAAATGGAGACAAAAATTAATTGCTTTAAATGGAGACAGAGCATCACAAAGTAACCTGGAATCTCAACTTAAAACAACCTACAGATGCTCAAATACAATAATGTTGATGGTAATAACAATGGATATCATTTTATTTTATTAAAAAATTTAATGTTTATTCATTTATTTTGAGAGAGAGAGAGAGAGAGAGAGAGAGAGAAAGTGCAAGGAGGGGAGGGGCAGAGAGAGAGAGAGGAAATGAGAAGAGAATCCCAAGCAGCCCAACTCGAGCCTGAACTCACAAACCCTGAGATTATGACCTGAGCTGAAACCAAGAGTCTGTCTCTTAACCAACCGAGCCATCCAGGCACTCCAATGATGGCCATCATTTTAAAAGTCTATTAGGTCCGTTACATAATCTCAAATTATCTACAAGGGCATTAAACATCCGATTTTCCTAAAGCAGGCAAAACTAACGTATAAGCACAATTTGTGCTTATTCATCTTCTGTTTTTGATTTCCCTCTTTGATTTTTGCCTTTCTCTCTCCCCCCAGGATGTCTTGTGTCTTTTATCCCATCTTAAACCTTGATTTCTGTATTTTCCATTATACTTCATCTGTTTTTCTATTTAAGAGGGGAAAATCCCAAACATCTGGGAATGAATTTCTGAGAGTGCTAAGATCCTGATCGCCTCCTTCTGAGGGAAGGTAAGAAGGTCTGAGGGGCATCTAAACCTCGAAGCCTACTTACTTTGGCTTTGAGAAACCTTATCTATTTACATAGGGGTGTGGTAAAAGGCTAGCATTTTATAGGAGGGTCAGGATTTAAACAGGTATCGGAAACATTGTTAAAATCTTTGCTAAAGGTTGCTATTCAACCACAGCTCCACCTTTATTTCATTTTTTAAATGTTTATTTATTTTTGAGAGGGAGGGAGGGAGGGAAGGAGGGAGGGAGGGAGGGAGACCGACCGTGTGTGAGCGAGCACAAGTGTGAGCAACCAAGCACAGAGTACAAGCAGGGGAGGGGCAGAGAGTGGGAGACACAGAATCCAAAGCAGGCTCCAGGCTCCGAGCTGTCAGCACAGAGCCCCACTCGGGGCTCGAACTCACAGACCGTGAGATCATGACCTGAGCCAAAGTCAGATGCTTAACTGCCTGAGCCAGCCAGGCGTCCCTCAAATCTTTCTGAACTAAAAGTTTATTCTTCCATCAAATGAAAAAAATAACACCTTCCATTGAAGAGTTACCTTGAAAATCAGCAACGATGTTTATAAAGCCTCTTGCCCATAAGAGATGAATAAATTAACAGAAGGTAGCTCTTACCGTTTCACAACATCTCCCAAAGCTTAGCTAGAATGGTCCCACTGTGGTTTTATTCTCAGTGAACGAGAAAGGACTTTTTCATCTCACTTCACGTTTTATGGCACCATTTTTTTAATGCTTATTTATTTATTTATTTTGAGAGAGGGAAGGAGAGAGAGAATATGATACAGTTATTTTTAATTTTAAAGTTTTAATATTTATTTGGGTTTTTTATTGTTTTGTTTCCCTCATTTAGTTTACTTTGTATTCACCTTTGTTTTTGAACATTTGTTCTTATTCGTCATTTAAAGTCTTTTTGAGCCCCAATTTATCAGATTTAAAAATATAACATTACATTGATAAGTAACATGAGAATTGAGATTTAACACTTAAAAATTATAAGCTGCTTCCAATTAAAATTTCACTGTGAAGGTTTCATGAAATGCCAACCATTCCTTTTTAGAGTATGAATAGATTGTCTCTAACCATTTTCCATACATGATTACACTGTACATAATTATATTCACTTTTTAATTGTGATTCAGTCATTTCAGGTAATGTGAAACTTTCAAAAATCATTAATTTATCAAAGTACTCAACTCCTTTCCAATTTTTTCGATGATATACTTTTATGAGATATTGTATCTCCATGTCCCCAAGAGGAAAAGTCTAAGATATTAAACAAAAATTGGGACAGGGGTACTTAAAAGGGTGTAATGATCAGTTCTAATTCTTTCCAGAGAAGGTAATGTAATAAACAAGCTTAATTTGATCATTTTTGCTTTATTTAGAAAAAAGAAAGAGCTGTACACTCTTCTTGGGAGTCTTTTTATATTACAATTTGTTTTGGAGAGTTTAAAAATAGAAATGCTCGAGCCAGAGCCCTGAGGGAACGACCCACTTAAATCCTGTTAGCTCTCGATCTTATGATAAATCAAAAATCAGGTTTTTTTTAATTTTGCTTTTTTATTTCATACCACTTTTTAAAAATGATAAAATGAAACAAAACTTTTTTTTTGCCTTCTTATAAGTAAACACAAATGTTTTAGGTTACTCTAGCATGACTCAAAGATCTCCTCACAGACGAAGTTACTTGGAGATTTTTTTCTCACAGGTAAACACATCAGAAACATCCTTGCTAGAGAACACGAGTGCATCCCTCCTTTACAAGGATACCTTTGGCTAAAACGGAGCCCAAGAATTGTCAAAACCTGAAGGTAATCTCCCTCCATAAGTGGCACTCTTCAATCAAAAATAAGGAGTTTATATTTCTGAAAGCCATTAAAAAACAAGAAATAAATAGTATGTAATATATTGACATTCTAACTTTATGTAGAGGAGGGGGTATTTTCAATCACATTATGATTTCAAGTATTTTTAGTGCCCCTGCTATGGGCTGGAACACTAGGTTACTTATTTTGCCACACATGCCCTATGAGCCCAGGTCTTCAGGTATTTCAATTTTAGATGAGACCATCCTCTGCCCTAAGCCGAAGACTGCTTCCTGTTTCCTGAAGGCTTCACCTTTGACCTTCTCATTAACCTCCCCCCTCCTTCCTGGGTCTCCTCAACCCCTCCCTTATTTTATCCTGCCATCTGCATCTACGTGGTATTCAAATCTCTTTCAAAGAAAAACAAATGAAAACCACAACACAGAAAAACCTGATCTGTTCTCTGAGAGTCAAGACTGTTCAAGAGCTCACTCTACCTCCACGTTCCAGCTGATCCTGGATCCTGCACATCTCTGAGCATCCCCCGATCTGGTTTCCACTCACCCCACGGAAACTGCTCTCAATAAAGGTGACATCCTTACAACAACAGCAACAACAGCAAAGGGACTTCTCTAGAGCTCATCTTACTCGACCACCTTGTGAAACTCGCTCTTGCCTTTGGCTTTTTCTCACCACATCCCCCAGCTTTTCTTAATCACCCTGGCTGCTTCTGCTCAATCTACGGCTTGGCTTTTACTGCGGATCCTGTACCTCGCTGGTTAAGGCTTCATCCTCGGCCCCTTCTCCTCTCACCATCTGCCCATGAAAGAGTATTAAAACCAAAGATTCCAATAAACTTTTATATAATCATAGCTACAAGTGTGTCTACTTCTAGCCTCTCCTCTGAACTCCAAACCCATGTATTCACTGATTTGTGACTATTTCCATGAATGTCACAGAGAGAACGTTCAGTAATTATCTGTCAAATAAATACATGGATCATTTACAGTCGAGAGTTCCAGATACTCTGAAGAAAGACCATAACTCACCCTTACAGTCGGACTTTGAATGGGCTCTGTGACTCCAGCCGAAGGGAGGCACCTTATTTACAGGCTCTAAAACCTAGTTCATTCGGCGAGGTTACATTCAGAGATTTTGAAGATGGGTAAGGTTACATTTCAGTTAAATCTTCAAAGCTCTTTGAAATACATATGTCAGATTATAACTGCTCTACTCTACAGATCTGTTAGATATCACGACAACATAAAGTCTTTCCTTTCTCTTAAGGACTATTAAGGACCGTGTCTTATTGACCCCTCATTTCCCAGGATCTAGCATTGCAGTGTATATACAGCAAGTAATTATTTCATGCAGAAGAAGGACACAAGGGGGGGAAGAAGAGGAGAGCCGAAGAGAAAATGAATAGGGTGCTCTTTTTTTTTTTTTTAAAGTCTATTTATTTTGAGAGACACGCAGAGAGAGAGACCGAGAGAAAGCGAGCAGGGGAGGGCAGAGCAAGAGGGAGAGAGAGAATCCCAAGCAGCTTCCTTGCTGTCAGTGCAGAGCCCAATGCATGGCTCCATCTCACAAACTGTGAGATCATGACCTGAGCCGAAATCAAGAGCGAGACTCTTAACCTAACGCGCCACTCAGGCGCCCCAACAGGGTGCTCCTTCTTAAGCTTTTTGCTTTTAAGGTTTATTTATTTATTTATTTTTTTAACGTTTATTTATTTTTGGGACAGAGAGAGACAGAGCATGAACGGGGGAGGGGCAGAGAGAGAGGGAGACACAGAATCGGAAACAGGCTCCAGGCTCTGAGCCATCAGCCCAGAGCCCGACGCGGGGCTCGAACTCACGGACCGCGAGATCGTGACCTGGCTGGAGTCGGACGCTTAACCGACTAGCTTTTTGCTTTTAAATCTGTCAGTGCTTTAAATATTATTCAGATAGTCCAGGCCGTGTCATTGGTTACAATATGACAATTACTGGATTTTATTTCTAGTTTTACTACCTTCTTTGGATTATTTTGGAGGAGAGACTCTATTATTCATTGTTTTAATCTACAGTATAACTAAAGTAGTACCAGGAATGATGTTCACATTTCTACTGAATTTGAGTTTTAAATAAGGCAGTGATATCCTAAGGATATCTTTTGTCATAGGAATTCTTACCTCTGCCCTTGCTTTTATTTTTGCAGAGTTTCTCTTTCTCCACTCCTTTTCTTTACCTGAATATATGGTTCTCAAAGTGTGTTCCCCAAAACAACATCATCACTATCACCTGGAAACTTGTGAGGACTAAAAATTTTCAAGGGAGCCCAGCCCCCAGCCCCCAGCCCCCAAACTGTTGATTTAGAAGCTCTGGGGGGTAGGGACGCCTGGGTGGCCTCAACTGGTTAAGCATCTGAGTCTTGATTTTGGCTCAGGTCATGATTTCACAGTTGGAGAGATTGAGCCCCTTGTCAGGCTCTGTGCTGACAGTGTGGAGCCTGCTTGGGATTCTCTCTCTCCCTCTCTCTCTCTGCCCCTCCCCCGCTCCCACATGCATTCTCTTCCTCTCTCAAAATAAACTTAAAACAAAAACAAAAACTCTGGGGTAGAGCCTAGTAAGCCATTTTAACAGGACTTACAGGCGATTCTAATGCCTGGTAAAGCTTGAGAACCTCCGACCTAAAGACATTGTATCCATTTTTTTTTTTTTTTTTTAACCTAAGTATATTTCACATACAATATTCTGGTAGTTTCAGGTATAAAACCTATTATACATCTTTTAGGCCAGCACTAACACTGCTTCCTCTGTAATACCCTGTCTTGCTCTACAGAATTAATCACTCTCTACTTTGTGCTTCCATAGTGTTTGGTCCTAATTCACGAATGTTTATTACCTACCACATTGCACTATAGCTAATTGCTTCTGCATTTTTTTATTCCTGCTCCTTAGGGGATATGCTATGTTTTATCTGCAGCACACAGTGAACCCTCATAAAATTATGTTGATTGGGTGGGTGAATGAATCAGTGAATGCTCTCTCAAATACTTCGATTAGAGGGCATTTGTTGAACTGTAGGAGCTTGACAGTGGGGAAAAAGAAACACACTAGAGCTTGTATAGGCAGCAGCTAATAACTAACATGTTTATATAGCTTGTATATATAGCTTACTTTCTGATAGAAACTGTTTGAAGTACTTTAAAACATTTATTAATTCATTTTATTTTTACAGAAATTCTAAAATATGGGTCTTCTTAATAGCCTTGTTTTTAGATGAGGAAACTGAGGCACAGAGAGGCTTAAATGTGTGGGGAGGTGCTCTTTTTTTTTTTTAAAGGATACACTATGCTATTTCTGTCAAGTACCTACCATACTATGCTTTCCCTGTATTTCCCAAGAGGTTAAAATAAATAACAGACATGGAATAACTAGGTGCCAACATGAAATTCAAATACAAACCACTGTGACAAACATTCATTCTTCTCAAATGAACCACGTAAGATTAGATCGTGCACATACACATTACAGAATGATCTTGTTGACTAAGTTTTAGAAGAGTAGCCGTTGCGAGGAAATTTCTGGAAGAAAACTCAAGGGTGGGGAGCCGGCTAGTTTTGTACTCCCAGATCCAAGCATGGTGTAGAAGGAAATATAGGCACTCAATAAATAAGGAAGCTTAGTTTTCATTAAATCAGCTAAGTTACGTTACAGTTACAGGCCTCTTCTGTGGTTTATTTCTAACATCATCCCTGACCATATAGGAAGATTATACATAACAGATGGGTGTGAAAAAGAATAGGGCCTTCTTAACATTCATATTTTTTCCCATGTTTCCGCTTTTTGTGTAGACTTTCCAGAAAGACAAATTAATAACTCTGATTTACTCAGAGCTCATATTGATACTCATTTATGAAGTTACCCTTTATGATTTAATGTAAATAGAAAGTTACAAATAGTCTGTACCAGAAAGAGTCCCAAACAAACTATTACCATGATTTTGCCAGGGATAATAAATGAGATAGATTAGCATGCCATTTTAGCTTTAAAGTTAGAATACAGATAAAATATGTTTTCGCATTTCATGGAACTATTTTAAATTATCTCAGAAACTATAAGTAGCTTTGCAATTTTGTCAAATTCAGAGTTTTTAAATATATTTATCTATCGCACACAAGTTGCTCATTTAGTAAATTCAGCAATTCCTGAAGGATGTAGATAATTTCAAACAAATTAACAAACGAACACTTCTTCCCATTTTGCCAAAAAGGCCTGATCAAAGCTAGACAGATTTAGAGATGGTTGGTATATAAATATACCATTCAGTTCAGGTAATTGGGTCTGATTGAAGGCTGCTTATTGGTGGCTAGCTGATTTTTCTCCAAGCTTAATTGCTACTGACACCATCAAAAACACCTTGGGGCGCCTGAGCATCTCAGTTAAATGTCTGACTCTTGATATCAGCTCAGATCATAATCTGGTGGTTGTGAGATCGATGGGCACAGGGCTCCATGCTGAGCATGGAGTGTGCTCAGGGTTCTCTCTTTCCGTTTCCCTCTGCCCCTCGTCCACTCATGATGGATCTTCCCTTTCTCTCTGCCCCTCCTTCACTCGTGATGGATCTGGATCGATCGATCTCTCTCTCTCCCTCCCTCTCTTCCTCCCTCCCTTTCTCAAAACTACATAAATAAAGATTAACAAAAAACAACACCTCAGCACACTTATTAAAACTGCTAAAATCCAAACGCTGACAACACCAAAGGCCAGTGTGGACGTGGAACAACAGGAACTCTCATTCATTGCGGTGGGAGTGCCAAACGGCACAGACACTTTGGCAGACAGTCTGGCGGTTTCTTACAGAATTAAACACAGGTTTACCATCCGATGCAGCAATCGAACTTCTAGGCAAACTCATGTCAGCAGTCTTATTCATGACTGCCCAAACTTGGAAGTACCACGATGTCCTTCAAATAAGTGAACGCACAAACGAATTGTGATACATCCATACATCAGGATATACTGAGCATTAAAAATAAATGAGCTCTCAGGCCACAAAAAGACATGGAGAAGCTTAAATGCATATTGCTAAATGGAATAAGCCAATCTGAAATGATTACATACAGTATAATTTCAACTGTATGACCTTCTGGAAAAGGCAAAACCATGGAGAGTGCAAACAGATTAGTGGTAGCCAGGGCTGGGAGGGAGTGGGGTGGTGAGGAGTAGGAGGACACCAGGGGATCTTTAAGGCAGTGAAACTGCTCTGTATGACACTCCAGTGGTGGACACATGTCTTTATATATTTGTCAAAACCCACAGAATGTATAACACTAAGAGTGAACTCTAATATAAACTGTGGTCTTAAATTAATAATAATGTATCAGTATTGGTTCATCAATTCTAATAAATGCACCACACTGACGCGAGGGGTTAATAATAGGGAAACTGGATGTGGGTTTATGGGAACTCTCTGTATTTTCTGTGCAGTTTTTCTATAAACCTAAAACTACTCCAAAAAAGAAAATGGATTAAAAAAAAAAAAAAAAAACCCACCTCAATGATAAGGTGATTATGACCCTTTGTCATAATTTTCTTTGAGATTAGGAAACAATAAACCTCTCTCCTTCTAAAATTTCCTTGTAAAGCTCACAATTCAAGCTTAGGCTACTGTTATAAGGAGTAGAAATAATGTCATCACGTATGTAAATTTTAAAGAGCCTGAATCATGCAGATTATTAAGAACTAATATATAATAGCAGCCAGTTTATCTTGCAGAGACTACGATTTCTGACCTATCTGTGGATTGCTGACTATAACTTCCCAGGGTTTGGCCCATTTTAGTTAAAAGTATATTTATACTTTGTTTTTCTTCGTGAGTCTTTCCACTCTCTTCTAAGATAGATACCGTTCTTGATGTGATTTACGGTTGGGTAGAGTTTATAAATCCTCTGTTGTCTTTTTTTTTTTAAGACTTTTCCTTTGGGACATAGAAACTGCTCAGGTAGACAGAAATTAGTTTCTAAATGTTTCAGACCACGAGACAAACTACATGTGCATCAGCTGTTCATGCTGGGATGGCTATTGTTTTTGTTATGCAAGACTATGGGAAAGTATCTCTGCTCCATGTATATATTATATTATCTACAAAGAACATCTAGATGATCACCACACCTGTCCTCCCGGTCTTCCCCATTGGTCCTGGGAATCCTCGGCTTCCAGGAAAACCAATTGCTCCCCGATCACCTTTGGGACCTGGAGGACCTATGTCATTAACGAAGAAAAACACAGTGGAAATAAATCATTTTTCATATAGGTTTGTGAGTATAAGAAAATCAACGAATATACAATAGGCAAATTTCCAAAGGTAGGGATAATATTCGATCATAACATTTCATGAGTGCCATTGATAAACAATATAAGCAGTTGGTAGAAACATTAGTGCATTTAGTAAATGTAGATACTCAATAAAAAACATATTGTTATCACAAGTAAAAAGCATATAAGAAAAAAATTTTTGGAGTTTTAACCAGAAGGCTTATGTAATCCAATCAGGAATCCTCAAATGGCAGGATTCTGCCTGTAGCTGAAATGGTAACTTTGAAATGTACAAGGTGAAAACGGAATTCTTAAGATTTGTTACTGAAAAAACACAACTCAAGCAATGAGAAGTATAAAAAAATATTTAAAAAATTGGGTCCTACTGCTGGAATATATTAAGCTTTCTTTCATGTACTTGATTTTACACATTCTATTGTAATCCCAAACAATAATGTGACCATATATATGTGATATATATACATTTGTGTGTGTGTGTGTACTATACAAAGATTCATTTATGGGTGCATATTATATAAATATACAAACCCAGGATTTTATGTGATTAAATGAAAATAGCCCCCCACCATTACTGTAGTGACCATGAAAACTGCACATGAAAGTGTTATTTTCCAGTAGAATAAACTATTTCATCCTGGGGTCCAGCAGTTTGAAATAAACTATTGTAAAAATCTCATTTTAGATGTTATTATCAGTTCACAGAGATTCTATTAATTCAATTTTCAGTTAACTCCTTGGGAAGCACACTATGAAAAATTTAAAAATTATACATCTTTTTCCAATATCAATCTGTTAATATATTGTTGTTAGTTTACAAGTTCCAGGAGGCAGGACTTATCCATACTTAATTCAGTAAAAAAAAAAAAAAAAATCTTTTCTTGAGGTACATTCATATAGATACCTGAAATTGAGCTAAATATTCTTTAAGAAATGTTAAGTTCAACATTTAAGTTAAAGTTTAAAGTTAAGTTAAAATTTAACATTCTTAAATAGTTAAGAAATATAATTTATGCCAGCCTAAACTTTGCTTCCATTGTATATTAAGCAGATATCCAAAGCAATAAAATGATAAATTATGTTTAGAAATATGAGTAAAGTCAGGGCATCTCAATTTAATAATTCAATATACATTACTTTACATAAATATAGATATACTGTATATATGCATTATATATAAATGTATATGTATACATCTATATATACCTAACTATATCAATATATGATACATAAATTGCTATTTTCATATATCGAATACACACACAAACTCACACACAAACACACTCTACCTTATAGTATCTACTAACTGGATTTCATAGCATACATCCTAAAAAAGAATTATCGTCAGTTCTCAAGATGGGCTAATTGATTAATACTTATACCTTTCTTCATTACCCAAGGAAGACAGTCAGTATCTGTACTTACAGTTATTAAAAGGTCACTCAAATTTACATATAAAAACACCGACTATAAATTCTTTCTCTCTCTTTTTGTAAATCTTAGGCCACTGCCCACTCTTTATAGAATGCTGCTCACGGGTAACTCCCATTTGTACAATTTTCTCCATTAATTCAACAAAGATACACTGAGCACACATATTATGTCAGTCCCTATATGTTCTTGGAGTTACACAGGTTCTTATCTGAACAGATCTTCCACTGTGGAGACATACAGCAAGAAAGTTAACAAATCAAGAAAGAAGGTGATTTTGGAGATGATAATTTTAGAAAAAAGAGAGAAATGTAATAGAGGATGCCTAGCAAGGGGATCAGGAAAAACCTCTCCAATAATGACTTACTGAATACACTTCGGTGACGCTCAGAATACAGCTCTTCAACTAGGAATTATGTCACATTTTCAGTGGGTGAACAAATGAATCCATAAATGAAGGCCATGTGATATTTTCATAGAAATCACTTGATCATTAGACCTCCATTACGGGAGATATTTAGGCAGACTCTGTATGACCTATAGAGTTATGTGACTTGTGTATTTAATGATACTTCTTTATTTTTATTTATTTTGAGAGACAGAACATGCGTGCATCTGTGTGTGTGAGTGGGGGAGGGGTAGAAAGAAAGTGGGGGACAGAGAGAGAATCCTGAGCAGGCTCCAAATTGTCAGCACAGAGCCTGATGTGGGGCTCGATCTCACGAACCATGAGATCATGACTTGAGCCGAAACCAAGAGTAGGACACTCAACCGAATGAGCCAACCAGGTGCCCCGATGTTCTTCTTGGTAATATAATCATTATTTTCACCAGCTTTTTGTCAAGGCTGCTAATTTAATTTTATTTAATGGTATGTACATAATTTGCAGACATTTTTGGATTCATTGGCATAATTAGTTACCTCCCAAAGAAACCTGCTTTCTACACTTATAGCAAGAGTCTGCAGCCAGCAATGTTCCTTACTCAAATGCATATTTTGGGGAGCACTGTCTGGTTCCAGCCTGGGGGATAAAGCTTTTTGGGCCACAGACTGGAAGAAGAGGGGTGGGTGGGGTAAAGACACGGGTAGATATAAAGATAAATGAAATGCAGTTCTTGTCCTTCAATAACCACAGTTAGATGGACTTCATTTTCTCTTCCAGAAGCATGATTCTTATGGAAGAAAATTCAAGCTATGTCTGAAAAGTAAACAGCACTGGATAATGATCAATGTTTTGTGGCCAATGGACCCTTTGGTTCCCTCTCAAGGCGTCTCGTGTAGATAGCGCTCCCATGCCTACAGGTCAGGCTACCCTGTTATTGATCGCAGTGGGCAGAAACAGCCTAGTAGATGGCTACAGAAAGGATACTTCAGGATCTAATTCAGCGTCCTTTCCTTAAAGCACTATTGTCATGGGGGAATAACCCAGAAAGTGCCCCCAAAGGATTTCAGAGGATGTCAAGAATCCTCTACCATGACATTTATCGTTTATAGAATTACTTATCATACTGGAAGTTTTGTGCAGGCAGAAATTCTCAACCTCTGAGTATAGGGTCCACAAGGCCTTGTAGAGCACACGAGGAACAGGAAAAGTGCTCAGCAAAGATTTTGTTGAGTAAAAGGCATAGGTCATTCTCCCTGGCATGCTTCCAAGGAACTACCACTCTGAAATTTCTGTTATTTGAGATACAGCACATTTTAACATAATACCCAGCCCAGTACCTGAGTATCTACTGCAGTATATTAATGAATTGGTTATTCAGGCCGCTAGAATAGTCATTAAAGTTTGTCAGGTTTAGAGACCACGGTTGTGAATCTAGAGGACTTTGAGTTAGTTGGTCAAGCGGAGTTTAATAAGCTCAACTGCACGTATTCGTGAGATGTCAATGAACTTGCTGTAATCAGGAAGTAGAATTATCATGACCGTTCATCATATACTCTTTACTTCCTGATTCTAGTACCCATATTGAGCAATTAGGTAATCTGGCAGCGAACAAAACAGAATGTACCAATCAAGCGAGGAAGAATCCATTAAGAGAGATGCCTGGTAACCTGAATACTTTTGCTGCAGTGCACCAGACCAAATGGCAACTTAATAATCTACCAGAGTCAACTTATAACCCAACAATGAAATCTAACTCTCTTACATGAGAAACTACATAATGCCTATTTGCGTAAAAGAGCAGTACCAACGGCAACAGACTAAACCCTCACTAAAAGAATCAGAGCAGCTTTGCAATGGTATCTGCTCAGGGTATTAACAAAAGCTGAAACTTTTAAATCCCTTTTTCTATTTCATACATCCATAGTTCAGAAACAGGTGCAAAAGATTCTCCCAAGATGAAGTTTTGCACAGCAAGTTGTAGCCCAGACTGAACTTACATGGTTGAGTTATAAAGCTTTGACAATTGCACTCTGTAATGGAGGAGCTGACAGACCTTTGACAATAGCAGCTCTGACAGCTGATAGAATACTGGTTACTTCCCCTGCTATGACATTAATGCGCCATTGGTAAGATCTCTGGATTGCTAGTCAAGTAGAAAGATTTTTCTGAATAAAGAATCTTACCTGGCAATATTTTCAAAGGCATAACAGCAACCTGCCTAATAGAAAAAATTATGTATATGTTGTGTATACGTATGTAATAAAATAAATAGATACACAAATAGATTTTAAACAATTTTAAAGCCTTTTTCATGTAAACTATGCATTGGCCTTTTAAGTATAATGATGCCAAGGTCAGAGGTGTCATATTCAGGTTTTTCATTTTTAAACACTAGTTTTCTGATGTAACCCGGGCTAGTCAATATATTGATCAGAAAGAAGAACATTTTATACAACCAAAAGACAGAATAATAGGATGAAGTACATGGTATTTAGACATGTTTTGGGTGGCACAACCCATCCTAGATATAACTAAGCCAAGCGGTATACTCCCCACTTTCAAAGAGCATGTGGGTATTTGATTTCTAGTGAAGAATAACATGACAATCATGCTATTGTTCTTGTCTCCTCTATGTTTTTGAGAGCAAGGAGAGTTCATGCTCTTTCTCCTTTTCTGTCTTCTATTATCTTCTCTCAAAATACTGCTCTCAAGATTACAACATCAACAGAGGAAAATAATTTAAAACTATTTTGCTTGAAGCAAAATACAGAGAGTGGCTGACAATGAAGGTAGAAGTCATTTGTATTCTAGTCAATACTTACATTTAGATTTCTTAATTTTAAGCAGATATATTCCAGTTAAGGACTATACAAGGAATCCAAATTCCTTTGAGATGTGTGTGTGTGTGTGTGTGTATATACATACACGTATATATATACACACACACATACATACACATACACACACACATATATACACATACACACATATATATACATCTATAGTATATGTACTATTTATATTTATATACATTTAATATATATTTTACATATATACATTACATTTTATATATATATACACATGTATATATACATATGTGTATATATGTGTGCATATATATGTATATGTGTGTATATATGTACACATATACATACATACATATACGTACATACATATATACATATATACATACATACATATATACATATACATATATACGTACATACATATATACATATATATGTATACGTGTGTATGTGTATGTGTGTGTGTATATGTATACGTGTGTATATATATAAATATACACACACATATGCATACACACACGTATATACATACACACATATATATACATCTATAGTATATGTATTATTTATATTTATATACATTTAATATATATTTTACATATATACATTACATTTTACATATATATACACACGTATATATACATATGTGTATATATATGTGTGTGTGTGCGTGTATATATATACACGCACACACACACACACATTATATATATAATGCAAATATATTCAATGTGAAGATGATTTTCGTATTCTCTTCATGTGACCTAAAGCTAGGTCTGCCATACACTATGTGTGATAAAGGACATGGACAGCACTCTCCAGACTTCTTGAAAACCCCATATGGTAACTCTGGCTAAAGCATTTAACTTTTTTCAAAAACCTAAAGCAGTTACATATCGTACATTATAGTGATCAGGCTGCTGGAAAATACTTAATATCCCCCTTAATACACACACACACACACACACGCACATGCTCCACAGGAGAAAAATCGAATAACCATTTTCCCCTACACACATACATACTACCTGGCCCTATAGTGTATGATTAAGTGGTTACTATTACCATACCCATTGCACCTGGAATGCCTCGTGGACCACTTTCTCCAGCAGGACCCCTCTCTCCTTTTTCACCTGGGCGTCCAGGAGGACCTTTAAAAAATAAATTACAATTATTGGTCAAAGTTTGAAAACATAGGTAAAATGGATCTGTCACGTTTCAAGACAGTTCTATAAGTAGGGCCGCCTGGGTGGCTCAGTCGGTTAAGCGTCGGACTTTGGCTCAGGTCATGATCTCACGGCCCGTGAGTCTGAGTCCCACATTGGGCTCACTGCTGTCAGTGCAGAGCCCACTTCAGATCCTCTATTCCCCTCTCTCTGCCCCTCCCCGACTTATGGTCTCTCTCTCTCAAAAATAAACAAACCTTAAAAAAAATTAAAAAAAAAAAAGACAATTCTGTAAGTAAATTCAAAGTCTTTTCTTTGTTGTGCAATAACATGAATAAGACTGACCTTCCAGAATGGAGGCATGCCCTGCTACAGAGGAGTGCAATGTTCTATCCCGATAAGGAGGAGATAGCCCTAAAATAGACAACCTAATTATGTATTACATAATTATGTGTGGCTACCACTTTTCGAGGTTCTTAGAACCCAGGAGCAGAGAAAGACACTGAGTCAATGACAGCATAAACCCACATCAGTACTCTATACATACTAGGCAGATTTCATTATATTCAGTTAGTTGCTATCTGGAAAATGTGTAAGTAAGGACCTATCAATCACGTGTGATCCACACATAGTAGACAACCAAAACCCATATTGTTGAAAATGGCAAACTCAGACATTTGTTAGAGAGATGTAAATCAGCAGAGGTGGCAATGGTTGAAAAGCCTTTATTGACAGAGTAAGAGTTGAAAGGTAGTTTGAAGAATGGATAGAATGAGGTGAAAGAGAATTCTGGGTAAGTGGGAGAGACATGGGGAAAGGTAGGGAGGTGAAAATGAGTAAAAGAATACTTTTTCAAGTAAAGCACAGTTGATCCTTGAACAACATGGGTTTAAACTATGGGTCCTCTCACATGCAGACTTTTTTTTGGACAAATACACTACAGTACTGCAAATATATTTTCTCTTATGATTTTCTTAATAAAATTTCTTTTATCTAGCCTTGTTGTAAGAATACAGTATAAAATGCATATAAGTTACAAAATATGTGTCAATTGATTTTTATTGGTAAGGCTCTGGTCAATGGTAGGCTATCAGTAGTTAAGTTTGGGGAGAGTCAAAAGTTATACACTCATTTTCAAGTGCACAGGAGATCAGTGCCCCTAACCCCTGTATTGTTCAACTAGAGTTGTATCAAGTAGAATGACTAAATAGATCAATAGAGTTGTATCAAGTAGAATGACTAAATAGATATAGACACTACAAAATAAGTTGGAGGGGTCTCAGGGAAAAGTTTGACTGCCTGGCCTCACAATTTCCCCAAAGACCCCTGAATACTGAATTTGATCAATAGTGATGTAGTCTTTGAATTTTCTATGCCCAGCAAAACAGAAACCTAGTGATCACCTCTTTAGAATGATGGCACTTTGGAAATTTAAGGTAACACTCCTAGTATCCCCTCTTCTACATGGACCGCACAGGACAAGTATTAACACCTTCACTTAATGCAGAACACTCTACAATTTTCCTTTCAACTCCAAAAGGAAGAAACAATCTCGGATATACCATAGAATAATGAATACAGATCCTTTAAAAGAGGCATTTTGGGGTGGCTGAGTGGTTCAGTTGGTTGGTTAAGCATCCAACTCTTGATTTCGGCTCAGGTCATGGTCTCAGTTCTGAGATTGAGCCCCATGTCAGGCTCTGTACTGAGTGTGGCGCTTGCATGGGATTCTCTCTCTCTCTCTCTCTCTCTCTCTCAAAATAAATAAACAAACATTTAAAAACATTATTTAAAAAGCTAAAAGAGGCATTTTCAATCGCTGTTGTTCAGCCAAATACACAGCCCAAGGATGATACACAACTATATTTTGCATCACTGGTTAGAGAGCATTTGTTGACAAGTTTTACTCAGGTGGGCAATAAAATACCTGAAGAATTTGAAGGGAGGGCCATATAAATAAAGACTGTCTCATGAAAAAGTATATTCTATTCATTTTCTTTGTTTTGTTTGAAGTCCCATCCCTGCTTCTCTCCATTTTTTCTGATCTGTTCCATTTTTCAAGGTCCAACTTAGATTTTAGAACCTTCCTTCCCCGGTTTTTAAGACATCATTGTTCTTCTCAATGGCACAATGTCCCTTTCTCTTCATATGCAACATGGGGCAGTAATATTTTATTGCATTTTTGTTACAAAAGCAATGCAACTTATTATAAGAAATATAAAAGCCTAGAAAAAATATAATTCATAATTCTGTCATCTTTTTTATTTAGAAATTTATTTATTTTGAGAGACAGAGAGCAAGAGCAGAGGGAAGGGAAAGAGAGAATCCCAAGCAGGTTCCATGCTGTCAGCACAGAGCCCAATGTGGGCCTCGATCCTACAAACCACGAGATCATGACCTGAGCCAAAATCGAATCAGATGCTCAACCAACTGAACTCCCCAGGCACCCCCATAATTATATCATCTTGAGAGAATATTTATTTCCTGTGTCTGTACTTTTTGTTTTGTTTTGTTTGCCTGCCTATTTTTTTTTCCATATAATCACGTAAACAAATTCTCCTAAGCTTTGGCTTAATGTTGGACACACATATTTTGATGTTGCACAAGAAATGTCATGGTTTTACATCAATCTGTACACATCTTCCATTCCATGCAGAAGGCAGACATTCCCAACAGCAGGGGTTATACGTCCACCACCAAGAACACAGCTGTGGTTCAGTCATCTCTATACAGTGACAAAGTTAAGGCAAGCAGGATGGAAAGACTCAATCTGCAGCCCAGATTTTGCTGAGCAAACTGAAAGGAAGCAAATCCACAGTACTCAAGGTGGTTTAAAAAAAAAGTGCACAAGGAAAGATTTTGATTTAGTAATTAGAGCTCTAGAGCAAGACACAGACATTTCAGGAAAAGGGAATGTGTGAGACAAGAAACAAGGGACCCATAGAGTATATCTAGGCTCTTAGCCTCTGTGATTACGAGTGTCCACCACTTGGGGCGCCTGGGTGGCTCAGTTCGTTAAGCATATGACTGGCTCAGGTCATGATCTTGTGGTCCAAGAGTTTGAAACACAGAAGCTGGAGCCTGCTTTGTATTCTGTGTCTCCCTTTCTCTCTCTCTCTGCCCCTCCCCTGCTCATGCTCTGTCTCTCTCTGTCTCAAGAATAAACATTTAAAAGAAAAAAAAGAAGTGCTCACCATTTATTCAGCAAGTAGGAAATAGAACTCTTTCACAAACACAATCCTTACACGTATTTTGCAGGTAACTGTGTAGAGTAACTGTATACAGCTCTAATGTTGGAGAATTAATCCAATCATAACAAACACCTCTGTGTTATTTTATATAATTCTGAGTCAAAGATCTTTCTCTGTATTTTTATATAAAATACTGATACCAAGTTTCTGAATGCCAGAGTAAGAAAACCAAGTAAACCTTAAAGAATTCTAGCTGGGTGTGTGGGATGTTACATTTTTATTGTTATTTTATTCTTCATGTAACATTAATCTCACTTATTATGTTTCATTTTTATACATTGTTATATCTCTTCCACTGCCTAGACCGAAATGCGGGAAGTATCTCAATAAATATTTTTAGTGTCTTTTACATATTTTGGTGGGATAGAAGTATACAGATCATATACCAGTTTTCTTTTAGCTGTGTGTGTAGACTTTTTAAGAACACTGTGAATATAATGCTCTCATGCTACCTTACAAAAGTGGTATCTCCTCTCCATCCCTGCTGTAGCTCACATCCTAATCATCCTGCAGCTGGATTATTCTAGACTTTTTTTTTTTTTTTTAATCTGGTCGGAATGGATTGTGTCTATTTCACCTTCATATTTCCTTAAGTTCCAGCTTAAAAAAAATACTATCTCCATCAACTATACAGAAATATAGCTATCTATTCCGCCATGTTATGGAAAAAAGAATGAAGAACTTAAAGTCAGGAGACTTAGTTTCTTTGCAGTTGCCTTCTTTGTTCTGAATTATTAGTCTCTCAAAACTCTATTCCATAATCACATCAATAACCACCTCTGTGCATCAATAAATGGACATAATGCTACCTGTCAGCTCCCTTGCTAACTGATGTCAAGACTAGATTAATATTGCCCAAAATGTCTGATTTGCTCTAGTTCAAGAAGCCATATAAGAATTCACACTATTTTTCTTCAAATTTAATGCCTCCTAACTCCAGAGTTACAGGGATAATTCATAAACACTGCAGTGATAATTTGCGATGGACAATTCCCTCTATAAAACACACATACAAAATCCATTCCTTACCTCCCTCCCTATGATTTTTTTTTAAACGAACACTAAGATTTCTAGATAGCCACAAAAAAGAACTGATTTAGAATACTCAGTAACCATAAATACCAGAGATCAAAATTATACAGTTCACTGGAAAAGCAAACCCAGGCATATCATATCATTTAAAATCCTCAGATGATACCAAAGAACTAATAATGTCTGCCTAAATTTCCAGAGCTATGCTTCTCCATATCCTATTCATTACGATCATATATTTTCTACTTCAGTCTTAATCTTGCCTTCTGTTTAGATCATCATAAAAATCTGCCAAATCTTCTTGGCTATTGGTTCTTAAACCTGCCTCTCTCTCTCTCTCTCTTTTTTTTTTCTTTTAGTTTTCATGCTCATTGACTTAGATATCTTTAACCTGGAAGAGGACTTAGAGGTTTCTTAGTCAAACATACGTATAGAGAGGTCAGAGAGAGTAAATTGTCCAAGGTTTTAAAAGCTAGTCGGGTAAAAACAGAACTAGACCACTTCTTTCCTGACATTCTAGGCTACACTCTCCCATGTTTAATTGACTTCACTTTTGGCTCTGTTTTCCTACTTTTTTTCTGGGATGAATTTTTCTTTTACCTCATGGTGAAAAACACACCAGTTCTTTAAAATCACGGTAACTAGTTGTACAAATATCCAAGTTTAAATTCTACCAATTGTTTATTCTTCTTCCTTGATATGAATATATACATGTATGAATATATGTATGATTTTAGATCCTCCAAGAAACATTTGTCTAAAATCTCATTTCAAATAAACATCACATTCTCTCTTCTCACCACTGAGCCATATTGTGTTTTATTTCTCTTAACTCCTCTCCTTGAACGTTCACTGACTTTGATTCTTTAAATCATGCTATGTCTCACTCCCTACCAAACTCTACTTCATGATTTCAATGATGAAATTCCACTTAGTCCTTAAGACTCTAATGACTGTAATTACTTGATAAATATGTTAAAATATCTTTGTCTCTTTTATCTTCATGATTACATAGCAGGTGTTGACATTAAGAGGAGGGACCCAAAGATGGAAAATCCTACAACCAGCCAGTGATAAAGCACTCATTAACGTGTACAATTCATTTTTCTTGGGTTATAATTTCAAGGGTATTTATTCAACATTTGTTTTATGCTTATATGTGGTAGAGAATATAAAAAATAGTCCCTGGTTTTAAGGGATGTATTGTTTTCAGGAAGCGGCAACAGTGAACTAGAAGACAATGTGAGATACTTTTAGGTATGACTATCATGTGAAGATTTCTCTTATGAAAGGATACCTAATGTTCAATATTAAACAAGATGTAGATGTCAGGAAGTATTACTCTGATGGAACTAGAGAAGTCTTCAGATATTAGATGGGCATTGAATGAAAGATAGGATATTTTCAGATACAAAGGGAAGAGAAGATATTTCAAGCAAAGGCAAAGGCATGAGTCAGGATATAAAAAGTACTTGGTATGTTAGAATCATAATTGAATCAATTGAAGTATTTGGTATCACAAAGGGAAGAGGGAGGAAATCAGGTATTGAAAAGTGGTTAAAAACACATTAGACAAGATCCTGAGTGCTGCAGAGAGAAACATAGAATGAGGAAGTGATAGAGAAGCTTATAATCGAGGGTTTTTTCTCTTCAGGAAGACTGCATTTTTTTACCAAGAATGCAGATAGAATTACAGTCTGAAAGATTGGGGAAGGAAATGATTGGCAGACTATTTCAATAGTCTGGTAGAGCAGTGGTAAGAAAAGTTTACCCAAGACACTGCTATTACAAAGTGTGACTTAAGGAGAAGAAAGTGACAGTTTTGCTGATTTATTCAGCACATATATAATTGCTCACCCACTGCACAGAAAGCGCTCTAACAGGTACTGGAGACAGACAGATAGACAAGAAAGGTGAAACTCAACCTCATGAAACTCACGAGCTATCAGAGAAGACGTATCCTAAACAAATAAGCAAATGCACAGATGAAACAATTTCACGCAGTGGTAAGTACTATGAGGAAGCTAAAGCAAATGATGACATAAAGAGATGGGGGGAGGAAAATGAGAAGAGAGGAGGGAAAAAAAATCACCCCTAAAATAGTGTTCTTGAGTGGATCCAAGAAGGAGTGGCGTTCCAAGAGAACAACGTTTCAAGAGACAAGGCAGGAGTGTACATGATGGACAGTAAGAAATGAATGCAGCACTTCCTCCTCAGGAACTTACACTTCGTAAGTTACTGTGTAACTCACTTACCATGTAAGTTACTATGTAACTCACTTACCATGTATGTTACTATGTAACTCACTTACCATGTAAGTTACTATGTAACTCACTTACCATGTAAGTTACTATGTAACTCACTTACCATGTAGGTTACTATGTAACTTACTTACCATATAGGTTACTATGTAACTCACTTACCATGTAAGTTACCATGTAACTTACTTACCATGTAAGTTACC